AGCTGTCTGACACTCATCAGTCCAAATTAACTGTCTAGATGGTTTGGCTACTGTTGCAAAGTTACGACAAAACCTACAATAGTAACCAGTCATTTCCTAAGTATTTCTGTACTCCTTTTCTATTCACTGGCACTGGCATTTTCTCAAGTGCTTTGATATATGCATCCACTGGCAATACTTGCCTAAGACCTACTTTATGCCTAACACCATTAATTCTCCTTGGCCCAATTCACTTTCAACAAAATTAATTGCCAACTTAGCTTTTCTCAGTCCCCCAAAATTCTCGAAGAATAGGGATGTGTTCCTTCCATAAATCACTGATCGCAACTATGTCATCTAAGGATACCTCCACTCCAGGTAGATCTGCGGTCAAGATCTGAATTAGGTCCGAAGGGGCTCCCGCATCCCAAAAGGCATGGTTTTTTAAGAGTATAGACCTGAAGGTTAGTGCTCTGCTTCTTAGCGTTATCACTGAGTGGAATCTGATAATACCCCTTAAGGAGATCTATTTTAGAAATATACTTGGACTTTTCAATCCAGTCTATCATATCAATTCTTAGCAATAGGAAGGAATCTGGAACTGTTAAAGAGTTCACTCAATAGTCAGTCCATAGCCTCAATCCTCCCCCAGAGTTAGGTACTAATACAACTGGTGAAGCCCTCTCACTGTTAGTGGGTTCTATTAAATCATTCTTTAACATATATTCAATTTCAGTTAAAATTTTTCTACTTATCTAGAGACATCCATTACGGAAACAGACGAACAGGTACGGCTCCTGGGACCAGCTTCATGTCATGTGTAGGAGGTGTAACTTTTGGCACATCACCACAAAGATCTGCAAACTCCTCCAACAGCTCAAGGACATCCTGAGCTAACTTTTGGGGCAAATGAACTACTTTGGAATTAGATTTTGCCAAAAATATCAGTTTGACAATCTCATATCTACTGAATCACCCACAAAGTATCTATCCTCCTCCTGTTCCTTCAAGGTCACAGCACAATCCACAATCTTAGATTATTTATTTTCTCTCTGTATTAACTTTTTCATTCTATTCACATAACTATCTATCCTTCTCATCTTTCTTTCATCTAGTGTTGACAACACATTATTACTTTCACTCATCTTTCTCAAGATCTTGAAAGGCCCATCAAACTTTACACATAAAGCCAACTTTCTCAATGGCACTAGCACAAGTAAATTATCCCCAATATTAAATTCTCTTTTCACTGCTTTTACATCAAAATTAGTTTTCATTTATATTTTATGCAGACTAAGTTATTGTGAGCAAATTCACATAACTCTGACATTCTCTCTCTCATATTTCCTACATAGGTGGACATATCAACATTTTCACCTTCATAAAAAGCTTCATACAAAATTTCTAAGGGATCCCTAACATGATAGCCGAAAACTAATTCACTGGGTGAGTATCCCAAGCTCTCCTGTTTCGAGTTACAAATTGCTGACAACAAGAAAGGAATACTCTTCAGTACAAAAATTGATCAGCATGCATTTGAGAGTTTGATGAAATCTCTTAAGTGCACCCTCTGACTCAGGATGAAATGCTACAGACAAACATATAGAGATATTCAGAGCTTTCATGGCTTCCTTAAACAACTTACTAATGAAATTTGAGCCTGTATCACTCTGCACTACTTTAGGAATTGCATTTGTTGTAAAAACTTTAAGTACTGGAATTATGACTTTTGTGGTGATACTGTGTAAAGGGATAACTTCTGGGTATCTCGTGCAAGTGTTCATAATTGTTAATAAGTACTGATTACCCTTCTTTGTTTTAGGTAAGGGCCCACACACATCAATAATACATTTCTCTCACGGTGTACTCAAGCAGTATGGGATTCAATGGAGCAGGTGGAATAGGCTGGTTAGGTTTCCCCACTAACTGACATATCTTACATGGCCTACAATATTTCTTAACATCATTCATGATTCCAGGCCAATAAAAATATTCTAAAGTTCCATCTAAACTCTTCTGGACTCCCAAGTGCCCTCCAGAAGCCTTATGAGCTATACTTAATATAACATCTCTATATCCCTGAGGATATTGATGAGTCTCATCTTTAATATTATCTTCTGGGGATCTAAACTTTCTTTCTTACTAATTCCTTCCTTGAAAAGAATTAAAGTCAACACACCCTTCTGAAATAAATGAACTCTTTGGCAAATTTTCTGAACCTCCAGAATCCAGATCTTTAAACAGTCTTTCAAGACCCAAATCAGTGCCATCACCAAAAGCACTTGCCTCTGTACTCCCCTCACTTACACCATGAATTTTCCTCCCTGAAAAATCACAAAACTGTACATTATCTTGTACACTCAATTCTTTGGCCCTACTTCTAGTTACAGCACTTGCAGGAATCACAAGCTTCTAGTGGATCAATTTGTAATTGTTTATCACAAACTACAGGATTTGGTACTACTAAAGAATCAGCTAGGTCATTTTCTATCAAAAATGATGCCATGGGTACAGGGAGAGTGTCAATTACTCCCACAACAACCACACCAGAAACTAATGAAGAGTTCAAATATACTCTATCTAGAGGTATTTTCAAAACACCACCTATTCCTTTAACCAGCACAAACTCACCCGTGAAACATTGTTCCACGCCTGGGCATGCATCCCATAACAATAAACTCTGTGCTAAAGCAGTAACCATTAAGATAGTAATTGGTTGACCACAGCAACCCTCACTAACTGCAACAGACCCACAAGACCTAAAAGGGACAAAAACATCCTTGTCCACCTCAGCTTTAACAGTCGCGTGAGGGATTAATTTACAATGATTCCTGAATCAACTACTAACCATAACATTTTGTTGGCATACATTAGCAACAGGCTTGAAAGCCTCCCTGGCCTTTTTGGCCAGCAACTTAGGACAATCAGCCCTAAAATGACCTTCATCTTTACAGTAATAACAACAACCAGTCATCAGACCCATTATAACTCTTATTATCATTAGCCCAAACCCTGGACCAGCTAGGGAGATTTGTGTTGGTTTGTCAGGTCTAGAATTACTGCAAAAAGAAATTCTTTTATGCATCAAATTATAATTCTCAGCCAGTTTGATTGCTCTACTAAGACTATTAACTTCTTTTTTTTTAATAAATGTAAATTGACATCATGCACAATGCCTCTGGAAAACTGTTCAAGCAAGATAGTTAATTGGTTAAATGTTTCAAATTTGCTAGGAGACAACCATCTGTTAAATAATTTCTTTAATAACATGAGCACAGTCCATATAGGTTTGACTTTTAGGTTCTTTTCAGATACTTCTAAAATTTTGTCTATAAAATTCAGGTGTTAACTTGTATGCTTGAAGAACGGCTCTTTATACTTTGTCAAAATCTAACTATTCTGCAGATGTCAGACTAAGGTACATTGATTTACCCTTATCCTTGAGGACACTCTGAACTAGCAAAGGCCAACACTTCTTCGGCCAATCAAGCGACTGACTCATGTTCGAATAGAAAGAAGAATTCTTGTGGCTAACTTCATTGAACAGTGGAACAAATTTAACCACTTTTGTTACATCAAATGTTTGAGACTGCATTAACCAGCCTTAGCTGAAACTGCCTTTCCTTCCTTTCAATTTCTTTATCAAACTTGTATTTTTCAAACTCAAGATCTTTCAACCTTAACTCCACACAGGATGGAATTGCCATCATCCTCACACAATTTACCAGTATCCTCAGGTAATACTTCCTCTGCCATTAATTTATGTACGACTAATCTCTTAACTTCTGACTTTTTCCAGTTACTTTTAACCTGAATATTATATGTACTAGCAATTTTCAACCAATCACTTTTTCTAAGATCTTTTAATGTTTCAGTAGATGGATGCTTAACAAAGTTTTTAATATCAAAATTAGTCATCTTCTCAGCAAAATTGATACTTATTATACTTATTAATAATCATCAAACTTAACTGTCAAAGTGACCAGATTATGCGTATGCGCAGTGGACTGCTGTAATTCTAGAATATGGAAAAGCAAATACAGCTGCTGTAACTCTATCCTGTGCCTTAATATAAACTAGTAACCCACAATATTCTTCACAATTCATCACTTAATATAAATATAGTAAATAACACAAATATAAATTAATATTATACATTGAATGGAAATTGATAAAGAGTAAATACCTGAAATGGAATGCAAAATGAATTAATCAATGGAAATCAAATATGAAATACCCACAACCAATTGTAAACAGGAAGAAAAACATTCACAAAAATCAACACACAAGCTGATATGGAAAAAACACCCTTAATCGAACCCATGCAATCTTTATTCAGATTAATCATTAACACGAAACTTTCTCAATACCAATAGTTAATAACATCCATTAGAATCAAAGGCTCAATCTCCCAAAATAGTTAGAGACGCAGTCTGACATTGCCAAAATACCAAGGCTACCTCCACCCTCATGTACCTTAATCATTTAAATTCTTACTGACACAATAAACATATTATGTGAAAAAATATAAGGATATGTGAGGTTTATTCTTGTGTAACAACTTGTCACAAACCTTCATGATAAATCAAAACACCAGCAACTTTCCAGTGGAATCTCGCACGTTTTTCCCTTCGAAAATACATAAACACACCACAAGTCGCTTACACTCCGGTGCAGAATTTGGCGACATTTCATATCTTTTGGTGAAACCATTTATTTCCTCCTCCATAGAGGATCCAGGGGATATAGACAACATAGTCTAAACCCTATAACAAGAAAGAAGAAGACAATTTATTTCCTCGCTTACTAAATATGAATATCAGATAAAATTGCGCAAAATACACAACTATTTTATGATAGCAAACTCAATGAGTACAGGCTTAAATTTCATCAGCAAATGCATCTATAACATAAAAATTTTAACTTAAATATGAGACTATTAATAAAACCATACTTAAACCCATGGCAATATATATACCAAAGACTATATACGAAAGATAGGAGAGCATGGGAAGAGTCTG